TTGTTTTTTGTTGTTTTAGTAGAGAAAATGTAACAAAATGAGTACTAACAATACTCATGAGCACTGTATATATGCAAATGTACATAAATTCAATGAAAGCCCTTTTTAAATTACTTAAATTTAGTCTCAGACATTTGTATTATCATCATGCCTGATACTGGCAATAAAGTGATAAAACCAAATGTGACCCATTTCTGAAAAAATGAAAATGCATGATTTAATGTCAAAATACCATGGTAACTGAATTATGGAAAAAAAACAAAAAAAAAATGGAGCATTTACTTACAAATGAGTAAGTGTTAAATTGAAAATGTACACTGTTTTGGAAAGAATATTTAAACTATAACACATGATATATTTTCTTGTTGCCAAGTTGCTCACATTTGGTCCAGAAATTTGATAACAATACATAAGAAAAACAAAGCAAAGAAAAAAAAACTTTTGATATTCAAACAATTTACATGTTAATTGTGGACTTGTCATTTTAATGAACTAATAACTGATTTTTTATGAATAATAAAATTTGTTACTGCGTAATATATTAAAAGAATATGCACAATGGCGTCCCTAATTTTGTGACAATTTCATGTAAAAATCCAATGGCTGAAACCCTGAATGACTATAAATTGTGAAGTTTTCTTAATGTATGTTGAAAATTATGTAAGACATTGTGGAAAAAAATGCTATTGTGAGCATCATATAATTACTCTAGTTAGAATAATCACTTTGTCAAAAGTACACTTCCTTAGTTTGGACCAATTAAATTGCACAAAGATCATCATCCTTTTAATCTACACATGACATCATCTGGAAAACAAGTGTGAACCCTCAGGATAACAAAAGTACACACTCATTCATACACACAATTCTTTAATGTAAATGGAATTATTATTAAATTTCATGAAAAATAACACTCTCATCAAAACTACAGGTGATTAGTTCAAATTGATCATGATATTTTAATCCATCCTTGCACAGCTAAGTTTGAGATAATGTAAAATATGGTTTCTGAAACACTACAACACGACAAAAAATAACTATAAAAAGCAGCAGAAAAAGTGGATAAATTTTATAAACTGAACATTAAAGACTTTTTAAAGGACTGCAAATCAGCTTTAAAGAAAGCTAATTTATGAACAAAGTTTTGTATAAAACTTGTAATAATCATATAATCTTAATTACATATGTAGATATATATATGCATGGTTTACAGTAAATACAGAACAATCTAACATACCATAATAACAGGTATAGCTGAGAAATGTTGTGGAAAGTACTTGTTAATGGAAACATTTTCCTAAGTAAGTCTTTAATATCACCATCAGGGCAATAAATTCTCCCTGAAATTCAAATTTCTAAATTGGTTAAATGACTAATTTGCAAATTACTAAAGGTTGACTGGATGATCTATTTTGTATAACATTCTCAAAGAAATAAAATGAAAAAGCTTGAATGTAGACATATACATATATATAATCTTTATCTAGATATAATACATTACAAACTCAAGGGTCCAATTAGTTAATGTGTTATATTCTTCAAGTAATAATAATGTTTATAAGTTCAAAGCACACAATGAAGAAGAGAAGACGAGACTGATCTCACAACAACCCTGCAAAACTAAGTCACTGATGTGAAGGTAAACTGAATGAATTTCACGATAAAGTGAATATTGATGACACTACAACATGAAGATGTCATTAACGTATGGTTACAAAACTGTTTTGACGAGCTCTCTTTGCTTCCTCTCCACTGATCTGTTGTTCAATGAGATAATGGGCAGTGCTGACAGTAGTTGGAGGGCCAGTTATTGTTACAATACGATTACGTGTTCCAGGTGCAAATATACCTTTTTTGGATATTTGAATATTAGCTCCACTTAGTCGCTGGATTTCCAAAAGGGACTTCCCTCCAGGACCTAAAATGGCACCAACAATATTTTCACAAACTTCAACTTCTATTTTGGCCGTTTCTCCCTGCTGATCATCTGTTGTTGGGCTTTTGTGTATTGCAGAAGGACCAGAATTCAAACATGTTCCAAGACCAAAAGAGTTGTTGTTAATTGGCAGATTAGGAGTATTTGGGGATCCTAGCACAGGAGAGTTACGTTGGAATGGGTCAAAAGCTGTGGAACCATCACCTTGAAAGTGAAATCTTTCATTGGATCTACTAACAGATGGAGAAGAAAAGCCAGGAAACATACCAACATTTGACATGCCTGTACTCATGTTTCCTCCTAATGGTCCAAATATGTTTGATCCTCCAGTTATTGGACCTGAAGTGGTTACTGCACTACAAGTGATATCCATTTCTGGTACTCCTGTACATGACGTAAACATACCTTGGTTAGGTATATTTCCAGGGGGGATGGGGCAGTTAGCAGAGGTACCTATCCCACCCATCATTGTAGCCCCATTCATGCTATTCAACATCCCACCTAATCCTAACCCTAGTACTCCATAATTTGCAAGAGTGTTCATTGCAGTTGCAATCTCAGCTGTGGCCTGTTCAGAGTATCCATTTCCTCGTAACATGAGTTTGATATTATCTATACCCTGAGTAGCACTACCATTAGGAACTCCACGTGATCCCATACCCATACCTGCTGAAAATGGCATAATATTAGCTGTACTTGCTGTTCCCTGGGAACTTCCAAAATTACTGTTCATCGTTGGACTAATACTACTGAGACTTCCACTCGAACTATAGCTGGTGTTATTGTTACTTAATCCACCATTTCCTTGACCACAACTTGAAGAAGCATATGGTGACCCTGTGGGATTAAAATTGGCTACTGGACCAGAAATATCTGCATAACTAACATTAAGACAACTGCCACTTTGAGGATCTTCAGCAATTTTGGCCAATATCAAATTAAAAGCTGTCTTATTGTTCTCTGTTTCTCCGATTACTGTTATACATCTCTCAGCCAGGGCATGATCCCGCGATTTCTGCGATATCTGAACATACGCACCACTTTCTTCCTTTATTTGTTTGATGTAGCTTCCACCTTTCCCTATGATCATCCCTGCAGTACTATTAGGAACTAATATTTTTATCTGAGAAAAAAATAGGCAGAATTATGAACTAGAAACATTTAAAGCCATCTAATAAAAGTGTTTGTTTTTATTATTTTTTGAATAAATTAATGCTCAAGTATTTTTGGCAATTATACTATTTAAATTTAAAGTCAATTTAATTTAACAGTGTTTCTTTCAACAATTTTTACCCATCATAACTACAGTTGCAAATGTTCATCTTAAGATATATAACTAATATCTAAACAACATTACCTTTTGACTCACTATGATTAGAAACATGAAACTTGTAATAAGAGTCATTCAGTAAGACTTCTTAGATAATTAGTTGTTGAACATTTCTCATCTCTCACCTGTTTCTCTCGCTCAGCTGGCTGTTTATGGTCAAAATCTATTGCCATTTTTGCATTAGGATCTGGTTTTTCTCTGATTTTCTCTGTGATAAATTCATGTATCATAGTGATGCCTTCTAGACTGCCCGTAATAAGACAGACCCGCTCTGTTGTACCTAGTTTCATAAAATACTGAATTACTTTCCAAAGCATAAAACAATAGATTACTACCTGCAATATGTATTTATATTTTCACATATTGACTAGATGTACACAATGGATGTTTATATATATATATAGGCACAGGAACATACTGGCTTAAATGGGCTAAGGTCCAATTAGAGGTTTAACTATATTTTATGCATATCTATATTTGGATTTATCAATACTATCACCAAACAACCTCCTGCCCCACCATCACACACACACACACACACACTTGTGACTATAGCCCTACTTTCTTGCTTCCTATGCCTGTGTTTATATATTTCATAATGTCTTTTATTTTTATGAATCATATTTAATACTAGTTCAATATGATTTATTTTTCATGTTTTCTAACACTTAAAATGTAACGATCTGTAAAGCCAAGTCAACAGAAAAATAATAGCTTGTGAAAAAATTTTTAAACTGTAGAACAATATGTGTGTGTGTGTGTGTGTGCTGAAATTGTAACAGTTATGTCCAATAGTTTTATCTATCATTTGATAACATGCTGTTATAATTTTCTTCTCTAAGAAATACAGATTAGGTTCACTAAAATCATTCTCATAATAAGAAAAATTCTACATTCTCTTTTTCTCTCAAAAAATAAATAAGATAAGTTTTGCAAAATAACAAAAAAACATCCACCTACTACAACAGAGATCATAGATTTTTGGTATAATATTGACCTGTGAAACTATGCAACTAAAATACTAAATTTTACAAGTGTCCATGTTAATTTATTATATATATATATATATATATGAAATAGAAACATTTAAAATCATGTAACATCAGTTGCTATTTATATTATGTTTTGAATAAATTAATGCTTAAGTATTTTTGGCAATCATATCATTGAAATTTAAACAGTCAATTTAATCTACCAGTGTTTCTTCATACAATTTTTACACATTCTAACTACAATTGCAAATGTTCTTCTGAAGATATATAACTAATATTTAAACACCACACATCAGCTGTTACTCACAACTATAGTTAACCAACAGGTATATATTTTAACAGGAGTTAACATTCAGATATTTTAACAATGTCATCTCCCATTTATGCAATAAAACACACATGTGCCTTACATTTCTACATGAAAAAAAAACAAACTATTTTTTAAGCCTTCATCGTATACAACAATACAAAAGACAAAGTTCTACAAGTATTTAAGTTACAATGATTAATCAGTGAGGCATAGCCAGGATTTTCAAGGATGGGTTTATTATGACCAAAGCCAAAAACTTGTGATCTGGGTGACAACCCCAGAAAAATAAAAAAAGGATAAGGTTAGGCTAAAATATCAACTAAAATATGCATTGGAAAATTAAAGAGAAGGAAACTGAGAAACATTCAACCCTCCTCAGTGGACCACAGGTATGCTAATTAACTAATGATGCTTCTGTATTACCATTCTGTTCAAATTAACTGTATTTAAAAGTTTAACCACTTATATAATCTCAAAGACTTGACCATTCTAGCAACCAGATAATATGACTAACTAAAACATGTTGCTGATTTTTAATTTTTTATTTATATAATTATAATTTTCTAGATGAGTGAGGTCTACAGAATTAAACAAACCTGGATAAAAATCATTTGCTTTGGACATCTTAATTCGAGCACCTGATTCATTCTGAAGTTGAGCAATGGTTTCTCCACCTTTCCCAATGATAGCTCCAGCAGCCACTGAGGGTACAAGGATTTTGAAATGGTATGTTCCATTGGCTGTAAGAAGAATATACAAGCCATCTTTATAAAACCATTAGTTTTGAGAGCTTATCACACACACAAGACCAATTTTTTAGTGATACACACAAGCATAAGAACACGAATTTGCATTTAATGCCTGTCTGGGAAAGGTAAAAAAGAATTTTGGACAGGTAAAATTGGTATGTCACATGTTTGACAAGGGAATTAAAAGTTTCCAAACGTGCTTTCCCACCAAGAAATTTAACTCATTTTCATATGAGATTTGTTTATGTTCTTTTCATCTTTCATATCATCATTTATTGATCAATAATTTTTCAATCATGTCAAATAACCTACTGTTGTCTATTCCAAAAATAAAAAATGGTAACCTGCAAAGATAAGGAACAACTGGTATGGGAGAATAAACTTCAATTTACAACTGATACAGCCACACGAGATTCATTTTAATATTTACTTTATTTTTGAGCAGTTTATTATTACTTGTTTTATTCATTAAACATTTTCTTGTATTACATTTATATTCCTTAAACATTCATAACTCAAATAACCATATACAAATAAAACCACCTTATCAATCCCATTTTATCTATACGCATGGTGTACAAAGGTTTATTAACAATATATTTTTATATACTTGAACATTGTGCAAACAGGAATACCATGTATGATGATTTTTTTCATTTGATCCTTTTTATTTTTAGCCATCAATTTCATTTTATCTTATTCTTTTCACTGCTCTTTGTTTCATTTCAGGGTATCACTCATTTATGAAAAACACATGAGGCTCTATCGATTGGCTATTTATAGGTGCACGCACCCTCTTTATTCTGAAAAAGTGGGTATTTTCCTAAAAAACTACTTGATTGTGAAAGTGGGTGACTAGAAAAAAGGTATGTTTATACCTAAAATTCAGTTAAATACCTGTAACCTAGAAACAAATTGTAATTTTGTGGAAAAAGGGGAGATTATTTTAACATATTTGCTGCTATCAATACGGTACGGAGAGCAGAAATAAGGCTGCATAAGACAGAACTAATACAGAAACTCCATAGCAATAATTTTGTCCTTTTTATCTTCCAAATAACTAATATGCTGTGGAAACCCAGACTTTTTTTATGCACCCAAAGTTTCTTAACACTATGAAAATATAATTGAAAATAAAGCTTTTATCAGGGACTTTTTTCCTGGTATGAAAATTAATATCCTCCCCAAATTCACAATAATACAATGCATGGTAAGGAGTATTACCACTTGCATTATATTAGAAGTTTTCTTTCAGATCTTCTCATAGTTTGATTCCTTAAAAATCATACAAATAAAATCTGGTTTTTCTGAGAAGAATGGAAATAAATAGGTAATTTTTTATTGTTTCTTTTATATATATCAAAACTTGTATGTTGTATATAACTGTAAGGTCTTCTGTTTCTCTTTACAGTGCCAAAGCAAACAGACCTTTTTAAGTTTGGCATTTCTGGAAGGGCTGTCAAAGCATCCAAGGAATGTGTTCACTCACATATGGACTATGAGTCAAAGCAAACTTGAGGTTTTGTTCCTGGCTAGATACAATTGTTTTCTGTACTCAAACACCTGATTAAAGTGTCATGTTTTAGTGTTAATCACAACACTCGCCAACAAAAAGTAAAGATCTTTGAAGTGGGATGCAAGTTTGTGTGAAAAGACACCACTAGAAGCCATTTGACTTCAAAATAGCACTTTTGCTATGAAACAACCCTAAATGTGGAGAATAAAAAAAGGTCAGGTTACAGGTTACATTACTGAGCAAAGATTTAATGAAAAAAATAAAAGGGTTCTGAAGTATTTGTTTAATACTACATACTTCATACTTTATCACAAGATGTCTTTTATTTCCTTTTATAACTTAATAAAACTGCAAGTAAAAAATGATACCCCACTTATAAAACTGTTAAGCTACCAGAATTAACAAGCTTGCAAAAGCTTTTGCAAAGATGGGAGCCCATTATAGATAAAATAAACCAAGTTTAGACCTTCACTATGGTATTTGATGGGGATATGGATGGTAGTATATCAGAAATGGAAATAATCTGTGGGACAATTTTAGATCAGGGTGTGCCAACAACCTCCTTTGTCTAGTTGCAAGACCTGAATATGAGTATGCTGAAAATGTTTTTCAATGGCATTGATCAGGCCCTAGCATTTGTGAGTATCTCTGATTTGAAGAAAAAGCTTATTAGAGCTGGGTGTGATGGTGCATCAGTCAACACTGTGTGCAGCAAGTGTGTGTCAACACATTTTCGTGAAGTTTCTCTCCATATTACAATTGTACACAGTGTACTGCACAGGTTAGAACTTGACATTATACATGCCATCAGGCACCATCAAGAGATGAAGACAATGCAAAATATTCTACACAAACTCTTCAAACATTGTCACTGTAACCCAAAGGATCTGAGAGAGCTTAAAGAAATCATAAGAACTATGGAAGACAGGTTTTTGAGCCCTCATCATCTTTCTGGAACCAGGTGGACCTCTCATGTAGCAAAAACCTAAGAAGTTCTTTTAATGGGTTACAATCAATTGTCACTCATTTGAAACATCTGTCACAGGCTGGGCCAGGACAGGCTGCTTACTAGGTAAAACGCAAGGTCACCTTTCTCACAAGAAAGCCTAAGGATTTTAGAATGCTGAAATTCACGTACTTTATGCTAGATGTAGAATTCCATAACCCCTGAGGAAATTTTTAGATAGTTAAAAAATATCCACCTCCTAGACCTGTCCTGCTGTGGCCTAAATGATACCATACTCTACACCAATATTGTTGTGCAGGTGCAATAATATACCAGTGCAAGGTTTGAAAATGACAAAAAAGAAATTCAGAATTCTTGGAGAATTTGTGACTTCAAGGAGTGGCCTGAGGAGAATGACCAGTTTGCAGCTTTTGTAAATGAGTGACTTAATTTCTGCTACAGCACTTTGAACTTGTATTCCATAGCTTACATTGTGCTATGCAGAAAGCAAAACTGGAATGGGCAGACCTTAAACCTTAAAACTACTACAAACAAGCTGAGGTTGAACTAAACCTCACAGCCTACTAAACTCTTCACAGTTACAGAATTGGAGCATAGGTTCCATAACATTTTTATGATTGTAGAGATTTTCATCATTAAAATGCTCAAAAGCTGCTGGTGAGCAACACTTACCACCATTATAGTGAATAACCTTTTTTTGATATTTAATGAAAGGCCAAACCTAATGTAGAGATAGTTGTAAAAGAGGTTGGTGGGTGTCAGGGCCATGAGGGCAAACTTTGCTGCAACAAGTGATGAGCAAGACAGGCTTCTATAGTTAGTAATGGCTAACAATGCAGATAACTAACCATATGTATAAGATTGTTATAACCCTTAATGAAATTGTGATCTTGAGGCAAAAACCAGTATGCCCCTGGTTATTAAATTGCCACATGTACTTTTCATCCAGTAATTCAGTTCTTTTAGGTTTTTCCTCCTTCAAATGTCTCACTATGGACAGAGAGAGGCATGTGTTTTGGTATCCAAGCATTTGTTTAACTAGTAAATAAATAATATACTTCCAAAGCTTACCAGCATTGCATTGAAACATGAAATTATTTCATAAAACAAATAACTTGTACTGCTCAGAAGGAAGCATTTTGTTTGGAAAAGCAGAAGTTAAAATTCAGGCAGGTACATTTTTTTGCAGTCAGGTAAAAACTGACCCTTACCTGCCCTATATGACAAGTGATTTTTAAAGTTAGTATCAGAGGAGGGTAGCACTCATTTAGCTCTCTATGCAAAATTTTATAATTAAGTCTGTACTTGAAAATGCAAATGATTATGCAGCATCCCAACAGAAGTGCAACACTACCACTATTGTAACTAGCACCCTCTGTAATCTTGCAGCTGTTAACCACTTCGAGATTGATCAGATCACACACACAACTACACTGGAAGTGGAGAGGACAAGTGTTAAATGCGAGAGGTGATAAATATTTATTGGAAATACATTTTAAATTTAAGAAAATATTAACTTCAAATATGATTTCTTACCTCTTCTCATAAAAAACTAGAATCCAACACTGAACAGGTGGAGGGCTGTATATAAACATGGTTAACAAATTGCCATATCAGCCTAATATCAACGTCAAATAATAAAGTACTTTTAAAAGTCAAATTATTCTGGAATTTAATAATTTCTTAATATATTTCTAAACAGTTGATTGTTTTCTTTGTTAATAATGGATAATTATACATAGAAACAAAACTTTACTTCTAAACTTTTAATTCATCTGCATTTTTTTTCCTCGATTAAGATGCTTTAGGCTTTGAATGAGTAAAAATACATGTTCTCTTGTCCAAAGGATGAGTGGGTATGATTTCATTTTCCAGCTCTGATACACTGAGAGCAGTTTTAGAATTTAGAACTCATTTTACAGACTTGCAAATTTAACAAACCCACTGTAGTTATGTCATTGTGCATTGCTTTCAATGTATTAAAATTCAGACAAATTTCATGTTGATTATTACCCATATACACTCAACAGGCTAGAAAAATGTAAATGCCAGCACTCTTTCACTATTGCCATTACATTTATGGAGCAGTTGATGGAAACACTAATGTGTGAATAAGGTTGAGTTAAAGGTTCGGGATTAGTCAAGAGAAATTGTAACTTGTGATCTGGATCCAAGTGTTTGATTAGTTAAGTTAAACGTATTCCAACAATCCATAAGTAAGTGTAAGGGGCATAACCAGGGGGGTCAAAAGACCACCCCAATATTCTGAAAAGTCTAAAATATCCACTATCTTCTGATTTTTAAAATAAATGCTCAACTTTAATATAGGTCATTTCAATTTTATGTGTAGAAGAAAAGGTCCACATATTTTTGAAAAACAAACAATAAAAACATCCTTCACTCTGTAGTGCTGAGTATACCCCTGAAACACACATAATTTATGTTACAGCTATGTCTTAAATATATCATTTTACAATAATATACAAATATTATACTAAAATCAAATGC